AGAGAGAGAGAGAGAGAGAGAGAGAGAGAGAGAGAGAGAGAGAGAAAGAGGGGGGGAGGGAGAGCGAAAGCCAGGTGAAACCTAATTGGTTCTTGGAGTCAGGCGACTCTGACACATGCAATGCTAATAGTCTAAGAATCGGCTTCACCAACCAAGCTCCGATTGCTTTTTATGAAGCCTTACAGTTTTGCATAAAATTATAAATGTTTCATGGAAAAAAACAAGCCGCAGTACAAAATTCATACGCTGTGCATCAAAGATGAATTTATAAGGAATGAATGCTTTTTCAAAATCTGGCTAAAACTTTGTAGCAACGAATTTGATAGCAATGAATGAGAGCTGTGAACGGTTCCTGTTGCACCGGAATTTTTCCCGTTTATTTGTTTCCATATCCGCTGTCGTTCGCTGCAGAAAGGATACCTTTCCGGCTGGCCTCTGTTCTTCCCTCCCTCAGTCTCATCTTCCTCGTCCTCATCGTCGTCATCGCTGCCACCTCTTTCTCCAGCCAGCTTCTTCCTCTTGCTTCGTGCCAGCTCTCTACGTACATTCGACAGCACCTTGTGGTACCTCTCCGGTGACATGCCATGCACCATCTCGTAACTGTGAGACAACACGCGGAAGGGGGTTTATTATTATTATTTTTTATTTTTTTATTATTAATTTTTTTATTTTTTTATTTTATTATTATTATTAGTAGTAGTAGCGCACTCTACAGGCCATGTTCATTAATCTGTTAAACACGCTCCCTAATCGCACGCCAACATCCTAGAATCACTGAGAGCAGCATAATAGATTGAAATACATACAGGCAAACATGCTCTATTAAATACAATATCTGTCCACAAAAGACACTTTTGTTAAATTTCTTGATTGAATCCTTATGTACAGGTTTAACTGCTTATTATTACTATTGTTATTATTATTATTGTTGTTGTTGTTGTTGTTGTTATTATTATTATTGTTGTTGTTGTTATTATTATTATTATTTATGACGTTACTTGCGATAACAGTATACGCACCCAAACTTCTTGATGAGCTTCGTAAATATGGACTTGATCTTGAAGCGGAAATGTCTGCTCGTGTCCTCATTCATGCTCGATAAACTAGTAATCTGCAAGAGCAGCGTTCACACGTATCGTGTCAGTATTGTGCCTCATTGAGAGACAGCCAATTTCTAAGAAATGAGTAATCACTTTTGATTCACTATCCTGATCATTGCATATAAACACAATGGTGGTTATTTCTCATTAACTCGGACACACGATATCTGATAACGGTGAGCAAAAAAGATACTAAGCGTGGCTTCATACCTAACATGTTCATCAACTTCACTCACAAGCTGGTGTTGATGCTGTGTGTGGCTACACTCACTAACACTGCTTCACTCTCCAGCTGCTGTAGATGCTACACTCACTACCACTGCTTCACTCACCAGCTGCTGTGTGTAGATGCTACACTCACTAACACTGCTTCACTCACCAGCTGCTGTGTGTAGATGCTACACTCACTAACACTGCTTCACTCACCAGCTGCTGTGTGTAGATGCTACACTCACTAACACTGCTTCACTCACCAGCTGCTGTGTGTAGATGCTACACTCACTAACACAGTATCACTCACCAGCTGCTGTAGATGCTACACTCACTAACACTGCTTCAC